AAAGTAGGTAGTTGTGTGTTGGGTTATCTATAATGATTGTTCCTAGCAGTCTAGGACAATCTCTTCATCTTCCATCTATCTATTGTATCAAATATTTATCTATATAAATAAGAGAATTGAGAAGGGTCTTCCAAGCCCTTCAGAACTATTTTTCTCTGTTTTATATCTCAAGTGTCATAAAATGCGCAGATCTATTATGATGCCCAGAACTATGATGCCAGATTACCTATCATAATAGGTCATTTTTACCTATCATAAAAAGCAGTTTCTCCACTAATGGTTATGTTATTCGAAGTATTGTGAGGATATCATATTGTTAAGTTAATTTAATAATTTAATAATGTCACCATGTAATTTAATAGTTTGACTTTAATTAAAGTGGATCAAATGTGATGATTGTTGGTCTAATACATGAAATAATTAGAAGAGGTTATTTGGAAAAATTTCTCTCTACTTTAAAAAGTATTTTAAAAAATATTAACATGCTCATACCTGGAATAGATCCATTAAGCTTTTACAACATAGAAGCCCAAACTCTTGGAAAACCATACTATGAATGGCAAGTTGAATTATTACCTCAATTGTAACTTCTTCTACGGGCTCAAGCTTTTGACCACTTTCAGTTTGATACCTATTAAATCTATAGAAAGTTCACTAAACCATTATACAAAAACATAAAAAGATACACGAGCTCAGACGTCGTATAATGTATCACTTCACATTCAGAACCATTAAACCACCAAAAAGTACCAAAAACATGACTAGGTCAAATATTTTAAATAGGTAGACCTTTTACAAGATCTATTAGATGAGAAGAAAAATCCATACAGTGTGATGGCATGGAAAACAAAAATAAAAGATCAGCCTTCACAACTATTATAAATGACGCAAGTTCCATGCTTCTTGGATGTTATTCATGAACTTCATTATTTGCTAACAGAAATTAGAATCTTGCTGTTTCAGGAATCATATTAGCATTGTTATGTGGCAGGGACTTGTACAATACCTAGAATAGCAGGTATAATAAACAGGGACTATTAGCGTTTTGTATCACATCATATTGTCACATTACTACTATATCTCTAAATCCTTTTCTATCTTTTTCAATAATTTCGGTTAGATTCGAAACCATTCTTGAGACTTCTATAACTAAGCACTTAAGTATTTGATTCTTTCAAATATACAGTAAATACAAAGCTTCCAGCATTTACTAAATATTTAAATAGCATGCAAAACCCTTATTGAGTGCAGCAAGACCACATCGTGTCAAAGCTGGTAATAAGACGAATAATTTGGAGCTTGTTCAGTCCTTGGAAACTCACATGACTTTAGGTGGAGAGACAGATAACTCAAATCCTTCACGTCTCATATTCTCAATCAAAATACCTGTTAAAAAAGATGCAATAAGCAGTTGTTTATGTATGAATACAACAGAGGATCATACAATTTAAAAGAAACATGAACATAAGCAGGTAAATAATGTTATGGCTGCTTAATATTAATGTTGGAGGAATTTTTTTTTGGAAAGATCACTATGGAGGAAGAAACCTACACCGCAAAGGTGTATTGTGTTTTGAATAAAACATTCTGATTAATAATTTTCAAGACAATTTATATATAGTTCTTTAAGTATTTTTGGTGTTTTTTCCACACAAAAAAATAGTCTTTCATCTCAATAATCAATGTAACAAAAGTTTGTATTACAAGTCAATATAACTTAGGAAGGAGAAACTCCAATTGTTATTATAGATTACCCAAACGAACCAAAGAAACTAATGTGTAAGTTTTGTCCAACAGCTTTCAAGGGAGAAAAAGTTTTGTGGTAACTCAAAAGACCATCTATTAGTACTCACTTTGCAAAGTGTTTCTTGAAGTGCATTCATTGCATTTTCCCATGACCAGAAAGATCATTATCCCAAGCAATAGTAATGGTAAGCACTGATCCTCCTTCAAGCTCGTTGAACTCAAATTTTTTTGGCTTGGTATCTATACCTGCTAATGCTATAAATACTAACACAAAAATGGAATCAACAACATATTCATCCATATATTGCAATTCACGTGTTTTGTTTCTTCTTGTCCATTGATCATCACATGCATACATATTTACTTTTCAGTCTATTGCATTTGAAACTTACAACAATTTGTTCACAAGTCTTAATTAATCAATAAATCACATAACTGTCTAGGCCGTGAGTCTTTTGGGAGAACGATACTTAGTCTTACCAGGTTTATTACTTGATACGATTCGGTTACATTTGCCGAGGGTTAACAAGTTTTTGATTCCATTTTTTGGGATTGAAGATTTGTTCATTAAGTTTTTGGCGTCGTTGACGGGGACTTGAGGTTTAACTAGTCTATTTGTGTGATTTTTGAATATTTTTGAATTGTTTAGAATTTTGTTTTTCTGTTTTTATTTTTCCTTTTTTCTTTTTTTTTGTTTTTTTGTTATTATTTTATTTTCTGTTTTTATTTCCTATCTTCTTATCTTGTCAATTATATCCTTTGATTATTTCTTCTCTTTTCTATCTTTTTGTGCTAACAAAATTTTTCTAGGGTTTTGTTTTCTGGTGTATGAAAGAAGCAATTCGCACTAGAAGCAAGAAAACCTCAGAACCTCTTCTTGAAGGCCTGGACGAAAGAAGAACGAGGAGGAGAGTTCGAACTTCAAGAGAACTATTCCCTTCTCCTGAGACACTCTTACAACCTTTACCACAAAGGTCTTACCATAGCACTGAAAATATGGCAGAGGAGAATAATGGTAGACGAACTCTTGCAGATTACACCACTATGGTTGGCACTCAACATTTTAACAGTATAGCAAGGTCGAGGGTCAATGTTGCAAACATGGAGGTGAAACCGGCGTTGATACAGTTAGTGAAAAGTAATCAATTTAATGGGCTATCACATGAAAGCGCATATTAACATCTCACCACCTTCAATGAAATCTGTAACACTGTGAAGATAAATGGAGTGACAGATGAAGCGATCAAGCTTAGCTTGTTTCCTTTCTCATTGGGAGGCAATGCTAAGTTATGGTTAAATTCTTTTCCATAAGGTAGTTTTATAGAATGGGAAGCTGTGGTTGCAAAGTTTTTGAATAAGTACTTCCCACAATCTAAAGTCAACAAAGGGAAGCATGGGATCTCTTCTTTCAGACAAGGCATGGAGCAGACATTAGGTCAAGCATGGGACAGGTACAAAAGCTTTTTGAGAAAGACTCCCATGCACAGTTTTGATGAAGCAGCAGTAATTCTACTTTTCCTTGGAGGTCTTGGTTCACAAACCAAGTTGATGTTAGATGCCTCAGCTAGAGGTAATATATTAAATGTAAGACTCTAGACAATGAAATGCATAGTGAAAGAGGAGCCTTTGTTCAACCCAAAGGGGTTCTATAATTGCAGTCGAATGATGCCTTGCTTGCTCAGAATAAGATTATAACTCAACGGTTGGAGAATCTAACAAAGACACTTGCTCAATTGTCGAAGGAATTAAAAACTGTTGTTGAAGTTCAACAACAGATGTGTAAACTATGTGGTGGTGACCATATCATTGGTCAATGTGCTTTTCCAGTGGAGGTCCTAGAAGATGTAAATTTCATGAACAATCAATTTCGATACCGCCAAGGTAATTTCAACCAAGGGTGGAAACCTCACCCAAGCATGGTTCAAGGTTAGGGACAATCTGAACAAGCTGGGCAATCAAGACAATTTAATAGGCCACAACAACAACCATCATTATGGCAACAGATGTCTACACTCACTGAAAAACATACAATGTTGGAAGAAACTCTTAACCAGTTTATGCAGGTAACCATCTCCAATCATAACCGCACTCAAGCAACCCTTAGAAATATGGAGATTCAAATCGGACAGTTAACTAAGAAGTTGGAAGAAAGGCCTGATAAGAGTTTTGGGGCTAATACTGGAGCCAACCCTAAAGAAGAGTGTAGAGTTTTAGTGAGTGTAAATGTTGAAAAAGTTGAGTTAGAGAGAAAAGAAGAGAAAGAAAAGAGAGTAGAAGAAAAAGAAAAGAGAATAGAGAGAAAAGAAAAAGAAGAGAGGTAAGAGATAAAAATTGAAGATATTCTTCCTTTTCCAACAGATTATGAGAGATTAGAGAGAGAGAGAGAGAGTTTGGGCATTTTACAGAAATATTCAAACAATTGGAGGGTGATTTACCTTTGAAGGAGATATTGCAACAAATTGCAAATTATACAAAACCCATGGAACAAGTCTCCACAAAGAAAAGACATAGAGAAGAGGAGACAAATGATTACAAAGCGGTCAAGAAGAAGCTACTCCCTCCAAAAGAGAAAGATCCAGGAAGTTTCACCATTCCATGTGTCATAGAAAAGAAAACGGTAAATAAAGCCCTACTTGATTTAGGGTCAAGCGTTAATTTCATGCCTTATTCTTTACTTGAACAAATGGGGGATATTAAAGTCAAGCCTATAAAGATGAATTTGTTAATGGCGGATGGTTCTTCAAAGAATCCGTATGGTATAGCAGAGGAGTTTATGGTTTGTGTTGGAGAACTAAAATTCTTGGTGGACTTTGTGGTGATGGAGATGAAGGATGAAAGAGTTCCTATTATTCTTGGAAGGTCGTTTATGAAAACGGCTAAAGTCATCATTGATGTAGATGAAGGAATAGTGGTGTTTCAAGACCGAGGAAAAAATGTGGTTATTGATGTCTTCAAAGAGGAACAACAGACAGAGACTAGTTATAAAGCTACATATCAAGATGTACTCATGATTAGTCCTCAAGATGCAAAGCCAAGCTTCAAAGGTAAAAATTGTTTCTTGTTTCAAGATAGGGAAGAATATCAAGATAGCAAAGGAAGGACGGTTCATGATGATTCAAGGCAAGCACAACCCAAACCTGGTAAGCATGTGAGATTCAAAAACAGGTTGTGGATTGTTAAAGACTATAAGAAAGATGGAGTGATAGAAATTGAGTCTCCACGTTCAACAAGAGTCAAAGAGGTGGACCGGAAGCAGCTGATGAGTTGGTGTGTTGATAGAAAGATAAACACCATAATTGAAGATGGAACATGTCCAACCAATGGCCCTCTTGTGCTTTCTCAGCACACTCAGCAACTTCTCCTCTTGAACAACATCAAGGGAGGTGGAAATGAACACAAGTTTCTTCTCATCATCCTCCAAGTAAGCATACTTGAGGTTATTTGGAAGCTGTTTCAACTCAAGAGTAGGTGTTTGCAAGTCAGATTCCTTTCTACTCCCTATAAAGTGGTTAGTGCATTCTGACTCTAAAGAATTTACATGTGAGGGCAGAACACCCATCTTATCAGACTCCAAATCAATATCCATGACAGCTACATCATCAATATCATCAATTTCAAGAACATCATCAACATCATGGATATCAAAATCCTCATCAACATCAACATCATTCCTAAATTCAGATTCAATGCATGTGTGTAGAGAGGATAGAAAAGAATGATCTTTCTTATGCAAAGAATCAAACTCATCAACAACATATTTATCAATAATGTCATCTAACATGTCAATCTTAAAAACAGAATGGTCCTCAGGTGGGAACTTCATTGCATCAAGAATTTAAAGTGAACCACAATATCAACAAATTCCATGGATAAAGTTCCAACATACACATCAATCTTTGTTCGGGCAGTTTTCAAAAAAGGCATGCCTAAGATGATGGGAGCGGATCCATGAGAGAATCCCTCCTCCATTTCCAAAACATAAAAGTCGACAGGAAAAATCAGTTCACCAACCCTAACCAAGACATCCTCTATGTAACCTGTTGGGTGGGTAACACTCTTGTTGGCCAACTGAATGACCACACCCATGGGTTGCAAAGGACCCAAAGACAAAGATTTATATATAGACAAAGGCATGACATTAATAGAAGCACCCAAATCAAGCATGGCATTTTCAAATTTACTATTTCCAATCATACAAGGGATGCAAAACGTACCTAGGTCCTTGCACTTTTCAGGAATGTGCGGGACTGACTTACCAATAAGTGAGGATACATTCCTACCCATGCTGATCCTTTCATCGCCTTTTATTTTCCTCTTATGTGTGCATAGCTCCTTCAATAATTTTGCATACTTCGGAATCTGTTTGATTGCATCAAGTAGAGGTATGTTTACCTCTACCTTCTTGAAGGTTTCCAATATTTCCTTGTCCACTTCTTCCATCTTTTTGCTAGGCATTGCCTTTGGAGGAAAGGGAAGAGGGATAGTGGCTGAGGTAATGTAGGAGATGCACTGGTGGTAGTGGTGGAAGAAGAAGAAGGTCCACGTGAAGAAGAAGTACAACCACCGGAAGAGGAAGAAGGTCCACCTGCTTCAAATGTCCTGCTTGGACCAGCCTGGTCCTCTTTTCTGAGAAAAGTAGCAAGTGTGGGAGTAGGTGTAGGAGTTGGCTCTGTGGGCACAACAATCTGCTTCCCCGATCTGAGGGTAATAGCACTCACATTCCTCGGATTTTGCACAGTCAGGGATGGTTACTTATCAGAATTTTGTGATTGTGCCTGATTGAACTATGTTGCCATCTGACCTATCTAATTAGTAAGATTATGAGTAGAAGCTCTAGTTTCTTGCTGAAACTGCATATTCTGAGCTTTGGTTTCCTACTGAAACTGCATATTCTGAGCAGTCATCTGTCTCAACATCTCCTCTAATGAAAGCTCAGAAGAAGAAATCGGAGGTTGGGGAGCTGGCTGGGCATGAATCTCTTGCTGTTGTTGCCTCTGATATCTCTGAATATGTGGAGGTACATATGGTTTATTACCTACAGCATTCTGGAAATGTGGTGGTTGTTGCGGTAACTGTTGTTGTTGTTGTGAATTATTGGACCATCTAAAATTTGGGTGATTCTTCCACCTGGGTTATATCTGTTGCTGGACAAGTCATAATTTTTGCTGTTGTGGTTGCCTGTTGGTTTGTATGTTTGCAGCATGGGCTGGAGGGGCATCATGGCCAATAGGTTGCTGCAAAGCAGGGCAGTCATCTGTATGGTGATTACTGGAAATACATATACCACACAGTCGTGCAACAGATGCAAATGGAGATGCTGGTCTCTGATTTGAAGCCATTTGTGCCACCAAATTCGCAAGAGAATCAAGCTTGCTTTCCAATTTCCTATCAGCAGATGATGAAGACTGGGTAGCAATATCATGTACTCCCCTCACCACAATGGTGTCACTTCTGGTGCTAAACTGTTGGGAGTTGGAAGCCATCTTTTCAATCAAGTGCCTGGCTTCAGTAGGCGTCGTATCTCCTAGTGCTCCACCACTGGCAGCATCAATCATACTCCTATCCATGTTGTTGAGACCATCATAGAAATATTGGAGAAGGAGTTGCTCTGGTATCTGATGGTGAGGACAGCTTTCACAAAGCTTCTTGAATCTCTCCCAGTACTCATATAAGCTCTCTCCACCAAGTTGCCTAATCCCCGTTATGTCTTTTCTCATAGCTGTGGTTCGGGATGCTGGGAAAAACTTCGCTAAGAACAACCTCTTCATATCATCCCAGTTGGTGATGGATCTAGGCGCTAAGTAGTATAACCACTCCCTTGATGTACCTTCTAGTGAATAAGGAAATGTCCTTAAGAAGATGTGATCTTCAGGAACATCTTGAGGCCTCATTGATGAACACACATATTGGAAATCTTTCAGATGCTTATAAGAACACTCACTTGCAAGGCCATGAAACTTGGGCAACAAATGGATTAGTCCAGTCTTGAGAACAAATGGTACGTCCTCATTAGGATATTGGATGCACAAGCTTTCATAAGTGAAATCAGGTGCAACCATCTCCCAACAAGTCCTCTCGCGAGGCGGAGGTTGTGCCATATTGTTCTCAGTGTGAAAAATAACAGAATCAGAATCAGATGCAGATGCAACAGATGCAGTAGATGCAGTATGCACAAAGTATTGAGCAGTAGAATCAGAATCAGCAGTAGGATGCACAGTATCTAATGGAACTGACTCAAAAACAGACTCTAAAGATAAATTTCTAGAATGCCTAGCTAACCTATGAAAAGTCCTATCAACCTCAGGATCAAAGGGTGGTGNTGCCACCAAATTCGCAAGAGAATCAAGCTTGCTTTCCAATTTCCTATCAGCAGATGATGAAGACTGGGTAGCAATATCATGTACTCCCCTCACCACAATGGTGTCACTTCTGGTGCTAAATTGTTGGGAGTTGGAAGCCATCTTTTCAATCAAGTGCCTGGCTTCAGTAGGCGTCGTATCTCCTAGTGCTCCACCACTGGCAGCATCAATCATACTCCTATCCATGTTGTTGAGACCATCATAGAAATATTGGAGAAGGAGTTGCTCTGGTATCTGATGGTGAGGACAGCTTTCACAAAGCTTCTTGAATCTCTCCCAGTACTCATATAAGCTCTCTCCACCAAGTTGCCTAATCCCCGTTATGTCTTTTCTCATAGCTGTGGTTCGGGATGCTGGGAAAAACTTCGCTAAGAACAACCTCTTCATATCATCCCAGTTGGTGATGGATCTAGGCGCTAAGTAGTATAACCACTCCCTTGATGTACCTTCTAGTGAATAAGGAAATGTCCTTAAGAAGATGTGATCTTCAGGAACATCTTGAGGCCTCATTGATGAACACACATATTGGAAATCTTTCAGATGCTTATAAGAACACTCACTTGCAAGGCCATGAAACTTGGGCAACAAATGGATTAGTCCAGTCTTGAGAACAAATGGTACGTCCTCATTAGGATATTGGATGCACAAGCTTTCATAAGTGAAATCAGGTGCAACCATCTCCCAAAAAGTCCTCTCGCGAGGTGGAGGTTGTGCCATATTGTTCTCAGTGTGAAAAATAACAGAATCAGAATCAGATGCAGATGCAACAGATGCAGTAGATGCAGTATGCACAAAGTATTGAGCAGTAGAATCAGAATCAGCAGTAGGATGCACAGTATCTAATGGAACTGACTCAAAAACAGACTCTAAAGATAAATTTCTAGAATGCCTAGCTAACCTATGAAAAGTCCTATCAACCTCAGGATCAAAGGGTGGTGCACTAAGTCACAACACCCTACAACCATGAAACGATAGCACAAAAATTTCAAACACACAAAACAACCTAAGCAAACAAAACACACATACTCAAACATACAAGACAAAACAAATACTAACACACACACAACACACTAACACAACAAAATACCTAAAACCAAACCGTTGATCCCCGGCAACGGCGCCAAAATTTGATGTGACTATCGCGGCCCGAGCCCATTAGGGTATTTTTATACCCTAGGGTGCGATTTTGGGTTCATTTTCAGATTTCTTTCTTCTCACACACTTTTAAGCACTTTTCTAAGAGTTCTCTACATCTTTCCCTTCTTTCCCCTTTACAAAATCTCTCTTCCACTCACTTTCTCACTAGTTTTCCATCTAAGTTTGGGGTTTGGAGAGAGCATTGTTGTTGGGGCTATGATACGACTGTCGCGGCCCATCAAATTTGATGTGCATTAAAAATGCAGGATAGTGCTAGGAAGTGACTCCTAGGTCGTCTCTCAAGGACCAAATGTGGTTCGAGTCTTAGGTCAAACACATAGTGGGGGGGGGGGGTTTGAAAGTGATTTTGTGCTTGGAAATGAACTAAATTAAAATTGGACATTAAATACAACCAAACATAATTAAAAGCATTATAGTGAATGAAAACAATAAACCGAACCATCCTAAAGCAAGATGTGTGCCCTAATTAGAATGCAGGAAATAATAAAAAGACACATGATATGCTATTCAAATGGAACACTTAAGCTAAAACATTAAATGCACAATGCAGCTTGAAAACACCGTGCAGCTGGAATATAACTTCAAAGTAAAAGTGTGAAACAATTGAATGTATTGTGCAAATTCACGAGTAGCGGGAATAAAAAAAATATGCATCCTAGACCTAATAAATGAAGTGTTGAAGTCTTCTAACAATACACCTCCATCACGAAAAAAACACAAAGTAAAGACGCGTGAACAGTAAAGAAACCAGAATTTCTTTTGGGCTATTCTCTCGTGGACGTGGCTCCCATGCCAATTCCAATTGAATGAAACTTCAGTTCGTGTGCTTCCCAATGTTGGACGTGAGCCTGCTCTTCCTCCAATGTGCTTTACTTCTCCCGTGACCGAGCCAAATGAACTCCCCTCTTCCAAAATCAAATCAGCGTGCCTTTTTTCCAAATTAAATCATGTTTTCTCCTCTACTCCACGTAACCTTGTGCGTGCCAAAATCCATCCCGCGTGTGCCTTCTATTCCACTTGAATGAAGATTGAAATCAGCGTCCCCTTCTCCATCATCAATCACCGCTGTTGCCTGCTGCTGGAATAAAATCAATCACTATCTCCCCTTAGCAGTGTTCCAGAGTTACTCCACGTGTGTCCTTTCACAAGCTGTGGCATGTGCACCTCCCAATGAATCAACACCTACGTATTTCCAATGCAAAAATGTTGAATCCAAATGAAAGCAGTGTAAGGAAGCCCCCTTTTCATGAGTCCGTGAGCTATTCTATTTTCCAGCTAGGATTAGCATGACCCTTCAGCAAATCAACACCTCAATGCAAAGTGTAAACTAAAGTAAACCTTGTGCCATCATGGAAAACTAAATCAGTGTGTGTTTTTTTCCCAAAGCCAAAATGAAATTCCACCTTGACCATGAAGCACTTTCTCCCTTCTAGGCGATGACACATCCTCCGTCTCAGAATTCTTAAAGAAACGAAACATCAAAGATAATGAAGTCCACGCATCCTCTCGAATTGAAAAATTAAAATCAATGTAACAATAGCTGAATAAAACTTGTGCACACCAATGCTGGAATCAAAGTGAAATAAAGAACCAATGCCAAAAAAAATGTTGGCCGAGAACAATGTGCTTGTCTCCAATTCATCCCATGTCTTAAAATAACGTTCCAGAAAGTTAAGCAAAAGAGTGTGCCGGCTGCCCTAAAGGTCGTGTGTCACCTTTTAATAAGGGTGGGGTCCACACAAAAACCCTAAGGTGCCAAGTCATTCACCTCCACTTTTGGGTCTAGTCTACTTTACCAAAAATTGACCCAAAATGTGAGAGTTTATTCAAAAATTCTAAACTACTGAATTACAATTTAATTAATTATAAAATGTATATGTGGAGAGTCATGAATTTATTTGCATTCTTCCTGATGTCCCAAAATGTATCTCCAAAAGTTTCCCTGCAATCAATAATGAACATAATAAGCTCAGATAATTCAAATAAGAATTTCTGGTCAAATTAAGCACAGTTAGTAAAAACGGAAAAATATCGGACATTTTAGCACAATTCCCTGATTAATTCTAGCACAATAAACTAGCTGAAGTCAAGAAAATACTGACTCATCAGGCTGAGTTCTTCACATTCTTAGAGCATTTTCAACTCATCTAGCATCTCCACCCAAGTAAGTCAAGCAATTTTTTTCATTCTAGGGTTTTTGAAAGCATGAATTGGTATGATTATGAATGTTCAAATCATTTTTTTAGGGATTTTGAGTTCTATGCATGGTTTGATAAATTAATTGATGATTGAACCGATTGAAATGCTTGATTTTGGTCTGGAAGTATGAAAATTGCAAGTGGGTGGAGTTAGGAAGTGTAAAAATGAAAATTTTCAAAATCTGCAGAATCGCCGCTCAACAGAAATTTCCCCTGAGCGCGATTCTGTCAGACTTGGTTTTTGGCTTCTTTTTCTTGCTGGCTTAGTGCACTGGTTATGCTGAGGGGTTCTTTTGACCCTCAATAGTGGTTTAGCATGGATTTGGGATGTTGTTTCTGGTTTACTAATGATTAACAACATGTTTTGTGGTTTATTAATTTGTGTTTGATGTAGGGATGACATCCTCTTCAAGCAAAATATTGAAGACCACAACCTTTAAGAGGAAAGAAAAGGAACCTGAACAACCTCATTCTAGTAGGTTCCTATCTCGCAAACATGAGAAGCATTTTAAGATTGTTCAAGATAGGAGACTCCTGATGGAGAGGAAAGTTGGAATGATACCTAACTTTGCTCCTTAGTTTGGAGAGCAACTGATGGGAAGAAATTGGAGGAGGCTAGCTACATACCCTGCACCAGCCAACATAGCAGTGGTAAAGGAATTTTACACCAACGCAAGAAAGTTGGGTGATTATCCGACTAAGGTGTACCTAAGCTATGTTAGAAGCCACACTATTAGGTATGATCCTAACTCTATCAACAGCTTTTTGGGTACCGAATGGGTTGGAGAGTAGTGCCAGTTTGCTCTTTGTATGGAGGAAGGCACTGATTCTAATGATGTGGAGAGTGTTCTATGTGTACCTGGAGGACACTTCCAGAGGAACAGAAATGGTGTAGTGGTGAATATCAGGAGGACTGATTTGACTCCTCTAGCTAAGTATTGGATGGCATTCTCCCATGCCAACATTCAGCCATGTTCTCATGTTTCATACATCACTCTCAGCAGGG